TTCACATATGCACTCCTGAAAATATCTAGATTTCAGGAGGACTTCTCCGCAGATTCTCCTGACCTTGCTGTTCACATATGCTCCTCACAGCGGGATACTATCTCTTGTCAGATGGGAGGGGGGAAGGGGTCTCTTGAGGTAAGATGTGACGTAAAAACAACAACGCAGAAGTAGCGGACGAGGCAACAGAGTCCGCTATACGACGCTATAATGACAGTAACAAAAGATTAGTTTGGCAAATTATTCACTTCCTCTGGAACTTTGAAGCTTTTTAAAAATGTGCAATATAAAATGCTGTGTTTTAACTGTTTTCAAACCATAAAAATGTCAGTAACACTAGAACCTTGTTTTAAAGGAGAATCTTCTTGTTTTTACATTTACGCTGATGTCCTTTTTTATACGATTGATTAGAGAAGGGGGTCACCTAAAAATTGCATTCATTGGAGATAATAATTGTAAATGTTTGTTGATGCCTCTGAGGTGAGCTCAGCAGCTGAATCCTCATTCAGCAAGCCAAGCTATACATACATCTGTGCATTAGCAGGTAAAGTCGTTTCTAGAGAATTTAGAGAAAGATTTGACCTGAAAAGGAAGAAGTGGAAGTGGCAGACATAGCAACAGAGTCAGCTATTCAGCGCTATAATGAGACTATTTCCCTTTATATTGAAGCTATATTTAGTTAGACAGAATCAGTTCTGCTGAACAGAAAACATAATGCAGTAGTTTAATTACGTACAGTACATTGAGATCGTACCAGTTGCGTGCATATAGTCTATGGTCGTACACCGATCGCATGGAATAAACTTTACCACCCCCTCCCACTCAATCCACTTCTCCTGATTATATTCTGCTGCGTTCTTACTTCAGCTCCCTCGGACCTTCTGCGGAAAAATTACCAAGGGGGCTGGCGGGGGAAACTACGGATAAAGTCAGAGTGAAACATTTTGGCTGTTTGCATTCACACATGCAGCTAGTCAGTCAGCTGGACAGACTAGCATGGCTCTTTGCTGCCTGAAGAGAAGACATGCGCAGCAGTGGGGAGCAGGCAGTCAGACCCCCCAGCAGCCAGGAAATCCATGGAATTCAGAGGGTCAAACTAGGGTTGACTGGAGAAACCCCACAGGAAGACACAGGCTGTTTTTAAAACAGCCCTATACATACTGCTCTCAAACGTAGTGTGCAGTACATATTGCATACTACATCCGACATCAGTAGTATAACTGCCAGTCTGTGGTTATTTTGAAGTATGCCAGGCATAAGCTTATCTGGTTTCCAGTCTTGGAATGCGGACATAAACAAAAAACAAGCTAAGGGCAACACTGCTACAGTGTAGCATCCACTTGTGGTCTGAACAAAACTGACAAGTGATGCTTTTTTCATGATTTTGGAAATCAAAAAAGTGAAATGATTGTATCTTGGTGTAGTTTGGTCTGATTGTGATTATTTCCCCAGTGACAATGGCCTTCCTTGTCCGTCATCTCTGACCTATCGCTTTGAATTGTGGGAAATTGTGGTATATGCAAGGAAGACTGGTCTGGTGCATACTGAATGTATTTTCGAATCCGCATTTGCGTATATTTGGCATACTGCGGATCTCGCATTTGATCGCATACTGCATACAGCCAAATAAGTACGTACCACTAGTATAGATGTTGGTATCTAAAACGGCCACAGAGGTTCCACCTAAAAGGAAGGTGGAACATTGAAAGATAGAATCCTGTAAATCGACAGCATCTGGAAAAATAAAATGAAGTCATGACGTCATTCACAAGAGCCTTTTTAAACATGAATTATCATGTTTGATGTATTAAGAGATTAAAGTCAGTCAGTAACAGCTTGCAGTATTTATGTATCAGTGTTAATTTGGATAAAGAAAAGATTTTATTTATAGAACTTATTATTTATCTTAAGATGGGCCTAAAAATATCCTGAGATATTTTTGAGCCTTTTGTCGTGCATTTGAAGTGACTCAGCAAAGGAAGATAAATAAAGCATCGACAGTGTTTATATCGGGACAAGTCATCAGAATTGTGTAAGACTCTGTAGGCACTTCAATCTTAAAGTGATCTCTGAGAGTTAAAATTGGTTCATTGTAATTTTGTGTTGTCATAATCTCATAAAAAGTTCCCATGCCTTCTCCTCAGGTTTAGGTTTCAAATGCTTCGGGTGTCACGTCAACAGTTTGACACATGAGACTGATGCTGACACTGTCATTTGAAGTAGGACGTCCCAAATTAGCTGTCAGAAAACATACAATAACAAGAAGGAATCAGACTTCCTTACTTTCATGCACTTTAATCAATTTTGAAGTCAGCTAAATTCCATTTTCGGAACATTATTAAAAGAGACCGGGCTTCTTTCTGTCACAGCATGGACTGCATGTTGGAGTAAATTATGTCAGTCAATTATCAGGCAAAGATACCAAAATGTTTTACAAAAGTGTTCTACTAGGGCTTTCACACTTGCAGAAAACTCCTGATAATTGCCGGAGGAACTGTATAGTGTGAACCTTATTTACAGTCTATGGTGTGAACGCAAACAACCACATTTTTCGTTTGGACTCCACCTGGAGTTTTCCTGCCAGACCCCCTGATGTGAGAACGCAGCAGGATATTCTTCAGAAATTCACCCATGTCGCCTGTTTGTCAGTATGTTGTTAACTCTGTTCGTCTTTAGGAGAGCAAGGTCCACTTTTAGCTTTATTACTTGAACTTGTTTGTTTGGGATGTGGTTAATCATATTTCATAAGCGATTTAAAAGACGTATCATAATGTCAGCCAAGGTTTTATAATGCAATTTAGCTCTTAATACTTTACATTTTTAGACAGCTGACAGAGGGAGCAAAAGCTTGGGTTCTTCACTTTAGGATGGGTAAGCCTACTTGAACCTTTCTTCTCTTCCTGTTTGTACTACACTAAATTGAGCTTTAAAGTGTCTGTTTACATGCACATGCTTGTCTTCAATGGTGATACATTTGTTATTAAGCTGGATAAGTTAATGAGGTCTATGCAAAATCAAGTTCATTCATTAATTACTAAAGAAGTAAAGAGTTTTAAGATTTGTTGTTGTAATCAAGGTCCGATGCACAATATTTTGATCTAAGATCTTATGCAGCTTTTAAAGCTTGTACAACAAGACTGGAGCGGTTTCCATTAGTGTTATTAGGCGAATGCTTGTGAGTGCATGAATGCATGTGCTGGTTACAGAGTGGTCATTTAAGGGGTGCTGCTGCAAAGATCTTCTCCTGCTATCGACTAAAGCTTGATTGGGAAATGGCACTTTGGTAAAGAGTGCTTGAATGAGATTATAGCTCTCTACTGTTCTGTTCTTTCAGACACAAATTAGCTGTCTTCAAGAACGTACTCATCATAACTTACGCTGGAACAAGACAGATTAACACACATTTTCCCAAGCTGGGTTGTGCTGTTTTCCCCTGGCCTTCAGCATTGTTTTTGTTGTGATACCAAAATTTAAAAAAAGATTAAAATGTATAGTGGATGGAAAGATGAGACAGAAGAAAATTGACAGGATATTGTAGCTACATTCAGTAGGTATGCAAACAATGATTTCTTTGACAAGCTAATTTGGGTCACTTAATTTCTTGAATCCATAAAAATATCAAATTGAATCTTTCAAATCAGGGTTCAGATCCATTTAACAAATAACAAAAAGTACAATTTATAAACACAGGTTGACAATGCATGTCGCTGCTTCTGTCCTTTTTCTCATTGACTAATGACTATGTAAATATAAAAGCAAAGAAAAAAACATGCCTTTTATACCTGCAAACTTTGCAGGTTTGCTCAGCAGTAGAGGAAGAGAGAGGCCCGTTGTTGAATGGCGGCCATGCTGCTGGCAGAGTAGAGGTCAGAGGGGCCTAATGGGTGGTGTCTAATTAGCAGGATTGGTTGATGTTGCTGGTGGTCCTGGTGTGACAGATGCTTCCTGCTGGGCTTTTCCTAAACACCACTGGTCTGATCAGTGACCCTTTCTTTGCTGAAATTAACCCATTGTCCTCTTGTCGTCTCTGTCCAATCGCTCTTTTAAATGAGACGGCCTCACTGCACCAAGCTCAGGCAGCGACCACATTTTTTCTCATTCTTTTGTATCCAACATGGAATTAAAACCTTTGCCTGTTAGATTAAGAATATGTAAGCCATTTTCTCAAAGCAAACTAAACATTTGCCAGTTCAGGCATGTCTGGTCTGCACTCAACTGCTGCTATTTATTGCCTGAGTCTTGTTTGGAAAACGGCCAATAGAGCTATTCCTGGAAAGAGTGCACTTTTAATGTGACTTCTTGACAGGCAAAGTGATAATGAAATCACATTTATCCCAGACTTTTTTACGGAGGTATCCTATCAGAACAAACATTCAAAACACAGGCATGCGGCAATGAATTGTCCTTTTATCTTTGGTGTCTTCTTACTTATCTCTTCCTGTTGTCCTCCTGTTACATTGATGAATTGACTTCTATAGTGTGTGGACTGTACTGAACAATACTTTTACATCTTGAACTCAGGATCTTGTTAACCTTAGACAAAGCTTTAGATGGGAATAATTTCATTGTGGTCATTATTTATCCTGTCAGACTGACATCATGTTAGTTTTAGAGCTGTAGTTTGGAAATCCACCGTATGATATTTTTTTTTAGTTCCAAAAGTAAAACAGAAGTTACTCAACACAGAGAAAGCATAAGAGGCCCCTTTTCACTATATAAGGTAGGCCGCCAAGAGGCCCCGCATTCCCCTCAGAAAGCAGTATTGGTGAGTGTTGACATGAGGGCTGTGTGATATTATTTATTTATTATCAACTGCCTCTTGCAGGATTACCTTCAGATGCTCAATAACACTCCTTGAGTTTTTCCACGGTTTAAATTGAATATAAAATTGCAGTACTTGTCCAATGTTTGTTCATGTTTTATATAATTTGTTTTTGGGCAATGCCTTTCAAGTGTCTTCATGCACATCAACTAATTCAAATGTTTCTTTTCTGTTGCAGCAGGCCTATGTGTCCTCCAGCCACCAGATGGCGCCCCCCAGTCCCAACACCAACAGTAGTAGCAACAGCAGTGGGGGAGGGGAACAGTTGAGTAAAACTAACCTGTATATTCGTGGCCTTCATCCTGGGACCACGGACCAAGATCTGGTCAAGCTCTGCCAACCGTGAGTTATAATCCAAACAAATTGTTTTTATTAAATTGTATTTCTTTTTGGAAGCTGCACTGCAAGGTAAAATGAAAAAACAGACGTTCTGTTGTATTGATTAAACCTAAGATATTTAACATAAAGAAATGGATTCATAAAGAAGAAGTGCTACATTTTGGGAACTTGATTATATACTTTTAGGTCAATACTTAATATCAAGCTAGATCAAGGATACAATTATCTTAACAAAAAGGATGGACTCCGAGAAAAACAGCTAGCCTTGCTCCATCCAAAAGTCAAAAATACACCCGGAAAATCTTTTAAGCTCTGAAGATAATGTACTATTTCTAGTTTATTTTTATGAGTTTACATAAAAAGGATAACTAATGATTTAATAGGAAGCTATTTCTTGACAAACACAACCTCATGGCAACCAACCCATTTCTGGAAGTCACTGCTTATGGAAGTTACTCTTAAAAAAGTCACTGTCTCAGACTCTGCCAGGCTAACAAGCATAAATCAGAATTTGGTTACTGAGTGCAGCATGCACCTTCAGCCCCCTTTGAATGATTTGTAGTGGTCACATACATGTTCAAAGTCTTTCAGTCCATAGCTCCTCAATGTGCTGTAAGCGTCCATATAGGGAGGCACATGCAGTAGCCTACAGTGTTGCAGTTAGTGGTAATTCCTACATGCTTTGAGGGGAATCTTTTTTTGATAGATTTGACCTCTACAATATACAGCCGGTATGTGTGCAAACTGGAAAAGATCTGCGCACCTGCATGAGTGTGATACCACACTGGATCACCCTCAGTATTGTAATCGGTCAAAATCACAATTATCAGTCGTTGTTCAAAAAATGACATCAAAGATATTCGTTCGACACTGCTTGTATCAACAAAGAAAAGACGATTCCCCCACACCCAGGACCCACTAGAAAAAAATTGACACAGTCAAATGTGACATCAATTTCACATTCATTGTTTTCATTCAAATCTTTACCATTGACAAATGTCTCTTTTCTGGTAAAATATGAGATGGAAGTAAATAAAGGAAGATATAAAACAAAAGCATGGTCTTTACTAGAGATTTAAGTCTTATTAGAGCTTTAAATAAGCAATGAAAGCATACATTAAAGTCCACGTCAACTGGTACAAGTTTATCTGATAATGCTCATCTTAGGTGCTTCATGCATTCCTTACATACCTGCCAATATCAGGGTTTCAGACTACGTGAGGGTACATGGGGGTGCTGTGCTAAAGTTGAGTTTGTGTTGTTTACCCTTTCCAATGTAAAATGTTAAACTAATATGAGCAGTAAATGGTTCAGTTTAAACAACACTTGTTTCGGTCAGCTTTGAAATCTTCCGCTACAGCTTCACAACAATAACAGGGATCCTGGCTCTATGAATGTGACCTCTTACCTATCAGTTTGTCTCTCTCTACCTCGACACTTCAGCCTGTCAGAGATGATTGATCACACACTAACACATTGTTACCACGACGTGAGGGCGCTTAATGTTAAATAATATGTAAAAGTATTGTAATGATGCAGAAGACGAGAGACACAGACTGCCGACAGACAAGAAACAAAAACTTAATGCTGTCCTCTCCCTAGATTTTCAGCGAGCATCCGCCTTCATTCAGCTTCCCTCTCTCCAGAGTGAAGCTGCACACACACCCTCTTAATCAGGTTGTGGGTTGCCAGGTCGAGGGGACAGAGGGGTTGAAATATCATGAAGTTGTTGATTGTGTATGTGTGTATCATGAGTCATAGATGATTTGGCAACTTTGGTACATTCAGATAAGCATACAAAACCTATTGATCAATGCATAGGGACTTATTGTAATAAGGTTGTAGTCACTTGAAAATCACAGGAGTTACCTGTGAGAAAATATAAAACGGATGGGGCCGAGAGATGACCTTAAAATACGGGAGAAACCTGGGAAAAACGGGAGTGTTGGCAGGTAAGGCTATAGAAAGAATCATGTAGAAACCAACTTCATGTGAGTGGATAACATCTGTTCTGTCTGAAGCTTTGCTATTCATCTGTTAGACACATGAAATTAAACTGTTTAAAACCGTTAATGGATTTTCAGAAAAAGGAACTGTTTAGGCAGGAAGGAAGCAAAAGTGGTTTACGAATAGACCACAACAAATGTTTGATTGATTCAATCTTGACAACCATGGGAAAACAAGATTTTTGTAGCAAAAGGGTTGTGCCTTAGAGGGAAATAGACCAAAGATGGAACAAATAAAGAGTCCAGAGTTTTGGATTGGGATGAAGAAGAAGAAGAAGAAGAGAAGAGGCCGGAGAAGGGTTCAGTGTGCTGCCTTCTCATGTCCTGATCTAACCTTCAGCTTTTGTGAGGCGGACTTGGCTCCAACAGCTGTGAATGTACACACCCCTAGACAAACTTGACTCTATAGTATGTCAGCTTTACAGACACACACACACACACACACACACACACACACACACACACACACACACACACACACACACACACACACACACACACACACACACACACACAGATAAAACCCGGTAAAAAAGCACCCAGACTGGTTTTGAGTGTTGCAGGTCAGGGCTGTGCATGTGTGTCAGAGACATTTTTTAACTTAAGCCATGCATCCGTCATCATTGTGGGTCAATCACAGGTACAACATACCTCCCTGAACAATCACTGGCAATAACTAATAGAATCTATCAGACTTTCATGACTTAATTATACCAACAACTGAACCCCTGTCTGACTAATAATTAATATGATATACCTATATACTTGTATATAGTTTTTAATTCTCCAGTTTAAACATTCTGACCTTAAAAGAGGAGGCCTCAAAATCTCTACAGCAAATTGACACATCTGAGTTAAGAATTAAGTTAATATTTGAGGTGCCGGTGCTCTATAAAGACACACATGGTCAAAGCTGGAACAATCAATGAGAACCTAACATCTGCGGTTGGAATGTGAAACACACGGAGTCCACAGGATCAACAGAGATGTCATTGTGGAGAGGAGACACCGGCTTTGGAGGCAGGAGTGGGGGGCCTCCCCTTGAAAGGGAAACTTAAACGAGTGGGAAAAGAGTTACACGGCCTGCTGGGAAAGAATGTTAGACGGCCATATGTGGGTCAGATGTGTCATTCAAGTCCCTGTTTGCTCCACAGTGAGGTGGGCTGATGTTGTGCTGCAGAGGGTGTGAGGTAAACGAATTGTTCACAATACCTTTTGAACCAGTTGAGTCGAGCTACAGTTAAAGCTCGATTAGGTCATTTAACTGGACTACTGTCCTTGTCCTGGAATACAAGCACCGGGTGAGAGTTGATACAGAAGTATGTCGACTCTGCTACAGTAGATGGCAGTTATGTCCATTTCAGCTAGTTACTTTTTCAACTTTCCTCCAGCAAGCAGCAAACTGATTATGTTGAACCAGGACAACATGGCCACTTTACAGCTCAGTACATTACATTAGGAGTGTGAATATCCCCACATTTTGAGGTCTGATACCGATCCAATATCTGGACTATGGGTATCAAGTGGAAACCTCCGGTGTTGAAAAATGAAGCCAATGTGGAAGTGCAAAATCCTGCAGTTTGTTGAGTGTCTGCTTGAGGCTGGCTCCAAGAGCCCCGGAAGTCACATACACACTACAGCCAAAAAAGGAAAAAATACAGTTTTACAGCATAAATTAACATGTTTACAGCCTGGTAATACAAATACTTACAGTCTATGGTATCTGCCGATACAAATCTGATCCGATACTAGGGTAAGATTAATAACCTGTATTCCTTATTGTGAGGCTTGGACTGGGAATCATGTATGTGTAAGGCAGCATCAGGTTTTCGTCTTTGTAGAACAACTTTAAATAAATAACATAAATAAAAACTGACTTAATTACTGCCACAGTCTCACCCGCAGTCTGTGTACCACTTAAAAAAGCATCACTCACCCTCTGTTGTCACAGTGAATCGTTGAGGAGCTTCTCTGTAAGTGCAAAAGCAGCTGAAGCTATGCACTACTTTGTTTGCTGTCCATGGCTTTTTTCATGTTGCTAGTGTTGTCTCTTGAAATGTCATGCACTTTAGTAAACTGATAAAGTTGATGCCTTGATGGCTGTTGAAATTCAGTTAATGGTGTGGTTTTTAACCCTAGCCTGTAGCACTGCACTGTGCGGTATAGCTCCAAGTATCTGCAGTGAAGCTGTGAGCTTTTACGTCCTTTTACTCTGCTGATCAGGGAGGGTTGACATTAAGAAAATATGTTTTTTTTCCTTCCGGGCCACTGGCTTTTCAAGATCACTGGTCCAACCATTGAAACCTCTGACCCTGGAACATTTTTTCCACAGGGAAAAATGTGTAATTATTATTATTGATTATCCTGTAATAAAATGATAAGCTTTATCTACATACTTTTCAAGAAATACCGCAAAACTTGGGCCAGCTACTGAAAATTGATAGTGGTGGTCGAACAACTGTTTTAATTGGCCTAAACTCCCAGTAGGTGAACTCATGCTCGTACGTTTACACATTCGCCAGCAGCAGGGACCTCGTAGGCATCAAGGATTAGACTGTGATGTTAGCTGGCGTCTTCTACTTATCCTTAGTAGTTTGATTTTGGACCGTGACAGAGCACTACACTGCACTTCAACTCTGTTGTGTTGGACGCTACTGCACTACGTCATCGATAAAACAGCTCAGAAAACAGCGGCGCTAACACAAAGCTGCTGAGAACGAAGTTTCACGACTTATGCCTTAAACCTGATCCTCTGTTGATTTTCTTTTCTCTCTAAATGTTGATTTTTGGTCAACTTTTGATTAAGAAGCAGCATTTTTTTAAACTGTTATTAGTTTGTTAGAGGAAACAATCCAATCTCAAGTGTTCTGTCTTTCTTAGTTTTTAATTGACCTTGTCGTTGTAACCACCACCCCTTGAAACATGCACAGATATTGCATGTAGTAGTATAAGTTGTTGGCGTGAAATACATCCAAACTGCATAGCCTTTGATGTCGGCATCCTCCAAGCTGACTCTGTCTAGCAAAATGCAACAGGCCCACCAGCGCACTGATGACAGTCAGTGTGACGTGGCACGCTACGTGCATGCTGTAAACACAGAATAGCATATAACTCAGTTGTATAAATTGGGCTTGAGGATCAGCCCAATGGATCCGCCCATTGTCACGATACCCGATCCTGCTCTTTGAGTCAGGATCAGACAGATATCAGATATCTGATACCGGGACCGGATCAGTGCCATCCCTACATTTCATACATACTCTAGTCTATGCTTTACTTTTGGTACAAATTAGACTAATAGTGTTAGGCTAATAGGCTAATATGTTAACATGCATTTTAAAAGTCCTGTTTTGGTTGGGCAATTGCAATAATAGACTTTTTCTAACTGTATGTAAATGTACTGCCTGTTCAGGAGTGCATGAAACTGCTTTTTTTGTCATGCTTTGAATGGAAGTTCAGTGTGTTAAATATGGCATTTTTGCATCATATTCTGTCAACCTTTATGGTCAGACAAAAATATGCATGTCATGTATGATTCCGAATTTTCTTCAAAACTTTTTTGATGTTTTATATATTGAAGTGTTAAGACAATTAAATGACCTTTATTCCATACAACAATAATCATTGACATGTACTGTACATAGAAACAAACATGTTTTTTTCCGACCTGTTTTGTCATCAAACTGTGTCTCTCTGAGAGACAGAGATTGGCTTGACATTTGTCTGATATGCAGATTGCAGTCAATGCATCCTGGGCAGTGAAGTGACGTTTCCTGAAAATAAAAAGTTGCATTTTTAAAAGGTGGGATACTGTTCAAGTCACTTGCACTTACCGGTATTTAATTTTAAATTTAAGTAAGGGAATAACTGTGATGATCTAAGATCTCACAATAAATGGGTCATTTGATCAATCTTTTGTGTATTTATGCTAAAGGATGACTTTGCATCTCTGAGATGACAGTGAGAAACTATAGACATAGCCTATGCAAAGGTCATCCAGCCATATAGCTACTGCTGATGAATCATTCATTCCTGCAGAAGTTTGCTCTATACTGTTTCTATTCTTTTAATAATTCACAATAACTAGGATGAATGACTCCTATGTTGACGGCCTATAATATGTAATGTTGAGATTATAAAGTGAAATAATCAATCATCTGCTGTCTTCTACTGGGCAAGCTGAATGTGTGTATGAAGGTTCTGCTAGCTTGAATGATATTTTAACTTAAAAGTCTGGTTCTCTGTATGTCCATCTAATCTGAGTCATCTGGGCAAATGTCCAGTAAAAATTGGTGGGAGTATAGGACCCAGCGGCAGACTATAATGCAAGGGTGGAAAAACAGAGTGAGGGAGAGGGAGGTGGTGGGAAGGAAGGCCAACCGGAGGGGTGAAGCATCAGGTTACAGTGTACATTCCTCCCAGACGCCATGTCGCCCAAACAGAAGAGCACCAGCCACCCTCGTTTGCTGAATTTACCGTCACACGCACGGCCTTATAACACTGTCATCCATTAGTCTCTCAATATTATATAAAACTCTTAATTTACTGCCTTAAGGGTGATTTTCAAAACCATGAATATTTTATGCTTGTGAATCAATTCATGGCATGATTTTTCTCTTTTTCTGATTGTCCTTTTCTCATGTTTTTCTTTTGATGGTTGAAATAAGATAAAGTTTTCTGTGACACTTGATTGACACAAGTGATTGCACAAAAGAGTTGGTATTCATGTTTACACCTGTAGTCAGCCAGAGGAAGTGTGACAGGATTGGTATGTGTATGGTAGGAGCGGATTCCTCCTGTTGGCCCAGCAGTCACCTCAATCATCACTGATCCTGTTTTTCTCTCTTCCTGTGTTTCCCTGAAGGTATGGCAAGATTGTGTCGACCAAGGCCATCTTAGATAAAACCACCAACAAATGCAAAGGTAAGTTGCTCCCTGTTTTAATGTTTGAATTGTATGCTAATTTAAGATTTTCTCCCTTGCTTTCAGTCTTTATGCCAAGCTGAGCTAACCTTTGCTGGCGTTGCATGGCTTTGGCTAAAAAGATAGAAATCAAAGTAGTATTGATCTGTTTATTCAGCTTTGCAAGAAAGATAACTTTAAAAACTAAAAAGCTTTACTGCAATTTTGATATGTCTGTTTCTGTCTAACAGGCTATGGCTTTGTGGACTTTGACAGTCCAGCAGCAGCACAGAAAGCTGTTACAGCCCTGAAGTCCAGCGGGGTCCAGGCTCAGATGGCTAAAGTAAGAAAAAGACCATTTTTGATAGGTTACCACCATATTTACCGTAACATTCAACGATCACCCATCGGTTCAACGTCAATTTACTCTTTTCTGTCAATCTCTAAAATGACGCTCCTCAAAGGGCCAACTGATAATCTCTGACACCCCCCAAGAGTCCTAGTCCCCTGACTCACAAGTATACACTCCCCCTCTGTTATGTAAAAGATGAACTGATGCATGGAGAAGTCTGATTGGCTGCAAAATGTCCTGTTGGCACGAGTTCAAGTAGGCATGTGCTTGGATATACTTCATTGGGCGAATCTTGGCCTATAATGGACAGTTTAAGAATTTGCCTTAATGCAGCTTGTACTTCCTATCCTTTCATCCTCATGCTGTTTTTTTCTTTATAGCCACCCCTCCCAACTACCCTGACCCACCAACCACCCACGCTCAACCCTCATCTCTCTGCTTGTGTATGTTGCTAACCTGCTCCTGTCGTAGCACTTGTTCTAAGCTCTTTGTCCAAGTGTTTGCAGTCAAAGCAACTCTTGTCGGCCCATTAAGCTGATCCCTCTGGCTCTCAGGATCCCCATTGAGGGAACCCAAGGGAGGGTGCCGCTACACCCACTGTCAATGGGACCGGCACAATGGGCTGGCATTGTCCATGGTCTGGGCCCAGGCCTTGGGCTGACACCAACACTTAATACACTCCACCCTGGTGTCCCTAGTCCCCTCCCCTCTTGTTGTGCACCCAAACAGACATACTGCAATGTAACACCAGGGTCTCCCTAAGCCTAGCCGTGGAAAAGTGCAACAGATCCACACTGCCAGCTTACCTGAACCGATCCAGTGCAACTAAACCCGGAGTCTAAGTTCACTGCAGCTCCTCTGTAAGAGTGCCAACACAATCCTAAGTGCAACTGGACACCAAGGCTTGACTCACCCAGACAGCATGTGCTTAGTCAGAGGTGTTGATTGGCACTATAAAAACTTAAATATACACTGCCGCTTCAGAGTCACCGTGTCACTTCAGGTCAGAAAAAACAACCTACATTCCTGAATCAGTTCAATATCAAACCCTTCACCTGCAGTTTCCCGTGTTTGTACATTCTCCATGGCTGCTGCACATTGTTGTTCACAATCAAGACAAGCCACACCTTGTACTCCCTGTCCTCAGAGTATGTTTGGTCCTCAAACAGGCCACCTGTCCCCCAGGTTGCTGGCCCAGAGGAGCAGTATGCATAGGGAGCAAGGGAACTATGGCAAAGTTTAAAAATAGATCCCTTTCTTACTTCCCAGCAACTCCCTGTTCAAACTCAGACGTCAGCATGCATGCGCTGTTTGACACCAAGCAGGCAAATCCGACAAAGACAGAGACACACCTTAAGAGACAGGGCTCACCTAGGGCCAGGCAAAAAAAAAAAAAAAAAAAAAGCACTATGACGCATCAGCCCATTCACATGTATGTGCCTGGCCTGGCCTGAGTCCAACTACATTGTTATATCTGCAGCAGGGTGGATATTTGTTTGAATATGATATTGGATATTATGTGTGCAAACAGAGTTAAATGGTAAATATAAAGTACGGTATGATTGGATATAAAAGGTCCTGTGTCATTAAGACTTGAACTCCATTAATGTCATCTGCAGTGGTCCCCTGTGTTACATTATAGTCGTATTGCCACACCCAGGATGACGACAATCACAGAAAAATAGGTTACCTCCACACCAGGTGGCTGGAAGCTGAGAAAAGAGGCACGTCATACAGGCAGTAAATCGTCAGTAATAATAGCTGTTGAATCACTTTGATACCATGCACCCTCAATTTCATTTTTCTGGCTCAACAAACGTGTTGAGCACCTATCAAATCTGTCTGACGAGCTGTGATAGCATCTTGGTTCTGGCTGTTCTCTTCTGTGTAAAGTAAAAATCTATCTTATCAGTTTCTTCCCCTTAACAAAACTTTGCAGGCAGCAGAACTATCTGACAGCACTGTGTGTTCGGAAGAGGGGACATGTTAAAAGATAGAGATGAAAGATACTTTGATGAAAGAGAAGAGCCAGTTAATCAGCAAGCTCTCATTTATCTTTTTCCTTCTTTCCTCTTCTCTGTCATCCTCCTCTTTCATTACCCAAATTACTCAAGACTCCCACCACTTCCAATCATGTCAGTTCCCTCCTTCTGTACAGAATATCAGCCTTTTAAGCCACTCACTTCTCCCTCCCTTCCTCTGCTCTTTACTCTTCCTTTGCTCTCTTGTTTTCCCTTCCCCTCTTTTTAAGCCAGGCCTCTTTCCTCCTGGTTGCCAGGCTCCTGTTGCTCTCTGTACTCTTTAACTTCATGCCTGACTTCCTGTCTGCTTCGGCACAGTCACACAAGGTTTCACTGTCAAGCTGGTTCTGCAAAATACGTCTCTGAATAATCTCTTTCCACTCTAATTTTCTTGAAGCTATCAAGATCTCTTAATTAGACTTACCCTCCTCAGGAATGTGCGACTTAATCTTTGCAGACAAATTAATATCTGCACGTGTCAGTGAATTCATGTGTGCCTGTGGAAAAGTCTGTCTGGTTTTGAGGCACCACAGGGTTCACAGATTATTCACAGATTCAGTTCATTCTTCAGGCAATAATTACAATTACAATAACATTTTATCTGTATCGTGTCCTATTTAAACTGATGCTTAAAATGGTGCATGGGTATGATGAAGCATTAATGTGTTGGGAGTGACAGCAGGTGTTGATGGAAAGACAGGTCACACTGCAGCCTACACAGGAATTTCTGCGGTGTGAAAAATATTTTGAAAGTGGCAAAGAAAATTTTTCATTTGCAAATGCAATCGCATAGATGTTTGGAAGTGTACTGCTAAAAAAAGATACCTTTTTTAATTAAGTACTTTGGGCTAAGACCTATCAGTGAAACACCTAAAAGTGGAGATGTAGTTAACAAGAAGAGGTACTTCTATTCAACCTCTGCATCAACATATTGTGCCATTGTAATGTAATGTAATCATTTACTTTTTAAGTCCCAAAAAAGTAAACACTAGCAAACACATTTTGTCTACTAACTTTACAGCAACAAGAGCAGGACCCCACCAACCTCTACATCTCCAACCTGCCAGTATCTATGGACGAGCAAGAGCTGGAGAGCATGCTCAAGTCCTTTGGCCAGGTCATCTCCACACGCATCCTGCGAGATGCTAGCGGGACCAGTCGCGGCGTAGGATTTGCAAGGTAAGACTTTAACACCTCAACATAATACACTACTCTGTGATGTCGTATGATGGTGATATATTTGTGCTTTAAATACTTTTGAGGAATAAAGTTGACTGTTTTTCAGAATGGAGTCCACAGAGAAGTGCGAGGCCATAATTCAGCATTTCAATGGCAAATTCATCAAGACTCCACCTGGAGTGCCTGGTGCGTGGAATCTTTGTTTTGTGTTATTGGAACCTGTTATTGTTGATTGTTGCCGCATATGTGTGCTCCTCACTGTGGTCATTAAAATCTGTCTTCTTGTTTCATCTTTTGCTTTCGCAGTGCCCACAGAGCCCTTATTATGCAAGTTTGCAGACGGGGGTCAGAAGAAGAGGCAAAACCAGGGAAAGTACCTGCAGAATGGTAGGCCCTGGGCTAGAGACGGTGATACAGTAAGTTGGTCGTTTTTGACTCAGGATACTTAAAATGATCTTCCCATGTTCTCTTGTTACATTCCTTGTAAAAGAACTGCTAAAAAACATTCTATTGACTGTGCTATTTGACTGTTGCAGCTCAAACTGCACAGTGTTTGCATGACCTCACTGGTTGTGAATCCTGTGTATTGTTTTCCCAGGGAGGAATGACGCTTGCGTATGACCCCACAGCCTTACAAAATGGGTGAGTGGTATGCACGGACTGACTGGAAACAGCCCCAGCCCTACAGGAAAATAAGTGTAGTTTTCGAACTGTGGTAAAATACTACCCTCTGCTGGGCATTGCAGGAACACAACAATGTTGTTAATGTGATTGAACACATACTGTAGATTGTTGTCATTGTGATATTATTTTAAATTGTTACTTTGCCCTGTCTGTTTGCCAGCTTCTACTCCTCACCCTACAGTCTGGCACCAAACCGAATGATCGCCCAGACTTCCCTCTCACCCTACATGCATTCTCCTGTCTCATCCTACCAGGTGGGACTTTCTTTGTATTTAGAATGAAAATATATCTGTTTTAAGATCTCATCTTAAATTATTTCTGTTCCTTTCTTTGCCATACCATCTTAATATGTCCATGTTATTTAAATATACTGAAAGTGGTTTTAAACTGGTTGTGAAACAGTCAAATTCATACGGATGCTTCATTATGAACTACGAAAGCAAACAGGATCTTCATCTTATAAGACTGATTTAATGCAGTTATTATTAATGCATGTTACTACTGCTGCCACAGTGTTGGATGCCAGTAAATGAATTTATAGATTGCAAACTGAAACTCTTTCTACGTTTTTGTGTAGCATGTAAGCTAGTTAAATGGAATCAAGAGATTTTTTTGGAGGGGGAAAAATGACACACTCACATGTACAGGAAACGACCAGCAGGTACAAGAGGTACAGCATTGTTCTCAGGGGTTGCCAAAATTGACAAAATGAAAGTTCCTCACAGCTACTGTAAGCTATCATATACTTAGGGAAGATATTATTTTTGACATATTGACGGTTGACTGTAAAAAAACAAAACAAAAAAAAAACAGATGAATATTTCTGGTGGATTTGAAGTTGTCTTTTTGCTCTGTAGGTACACAGCCCATCCTGGATGCACCATCAGTCATACCTCATGCAGCCAGCTGTGAGTATCCCTCTTTCATCACCTCCTCCTTCTCCTCATGGACCACATTTACACCCAGCCACTTTAAGCAACCTTGGTGGATTGAATTGCTGTCTCGTAGCATGAAGCTAAGTGTGAATACAAGCAATAGTCATTCAAGCTGGATGGAATTCAGTTGCTAAAAAAATACTTTGGGAAAGCTTAGCTCAAGTACCAGTACAATTACCAGAAGTGTTATCATTTGACATGTTTGTATATCTTAAATGACTTGACTGTTGTTACTCCCTGTGTACCGGTTATCCTTTTCCCAACTGCAACTATTACAAAATGCTGCAGCCGGGCTTCTGGCTGGATCCAGGGAGAGGGATATCAGCCCCGTTTTAGCTTGTATTCACTGGCTCCTAGTCTGCAAACAATCCCAGTTTGTTTTTAAAGCCCCGAATGGCTTAGCCCCCTCTTACGTAACTGACCTCCTGAGCCCTTACACTACCTCCAGGCACCTCAGATCTTCCAATTTGGACCTCCTGGCTGTCCCTCGTTCTAACCTTAAACTTAGAGGTTGCCAAGCTTTTGCAGTCAAGGCCCCTAAATCAGGGTTAATGTCGGTATTTACAGGCTTTTGGCCCAGGTATCATGTGCAGTTGTCCGGCAGATATAAGATGGATAAGATAGATGTATCTTTAGTGTCATTGTTGTTTGTTTTCAACAAACTTTGTTGAAGCAATCCTGTTTGCAGCATATAAAATAAAAAAATAAATAAAATCTGTACACATACACCAGTACACATGTCAACGGCCAAAATGTCCAGCTGGAAAATACGCCAAATAGACAAATAATATGCCAACTAAATAATTAAAAAATAAACAAGTATGTTTCCCCCACACAGCCTACATACCCAGACCATTGAAGCATTTCCCCCCTTTTTTATGTAAAAGATAGCCTATCACTACTGATACATTAATGTACAGCCCCCTCCCCCTTGCTCTCCAACCCTCGCTGACGTGGCTCGTTATGTTTGACAGCTGCTCCACTGATCAGAGGGAGACAGATGTCCGCTTGTTTGTCCCTGATTGAGCTGCAAGTCTCATTAAAGATGAACCTTCTGATGCTGTTGTTTGAATAGTTATCTCTATTTTTCTCTGCACTCTTTGGATCAGGACGTTATGTTGCGGCATAAACTAACCTCCATGTGAATGACCTTTAATTAGAACGGAATATCTAATGGAGAATTTCAAAACTTGCAGGGGGTTAATGGGACGCCTCTATAAAACATGCTGCTGATGAATAGGCTACCATTAAAATAGCCAAAAGAGGAAAAGAGAAATGGAAAGAGAAAAAGTTGATCAAACTTCTGTATTTAGAGAGAAGAGGGGTTGGGGAGTAGGCGATTGTGTGAATGGAGAACTAAAGAGAAGTAAGGTGATCTCTTCACCTGCAGTTGATGCCAGATGTTTTGCCAAGATAACCTTAATATGAACTTGATTATTACAGCAGCCTGTTTTATCTTCTACTGGTAATACATGTCTATCAAATGCATATCAGCCGGGCTCTACTATTTTATTCTATGATTTCAGAGTGCTACCGACTTTATATGTGTGAGGCTATGTGTCTGTTGTCTGTTCTGTTGTTTTTTCTCTTCTTTTATTTTGACTTTATCGTTCTTCTGTGCCATTTTCTGTGCTGTTTTTAAATGTGCTTTATTAATACATTTGATTGATGATTGACCTACTTTGTAATGGATATGAACACGTTCATGATTCCGTTGGTGATCACTTAGCTTTGTGTTTGTGTGTGTTTCTATGCACTCACAGGGTACAGTTCTTACCCCAACAATGGAACACGCCATGTCCATCCAGCCCACCTCCATGATGGGACCTCTCACCCAGCAGCTGACCCACCTTTCCCTGGGCAGCACAGGCACAGTCAGTACTACACACATACACACACACTCACACTCACACTCACACTCACACTCACACTCACACTCTCACACACACACTCACACACACACACTACATTCACAATAGACACAAGATGCATAAGGAAATGAACTGTCCCTTAGCTAAATGTCCTGAAATGATCAAGATCAATAGTTAATGTCATATTCTACACACTATTTGTGTTTTCCTCTCTCCCTTCCCTACAGTATATTCCGGCCAACACATCTATGCAGGGGACCTACCTCCCCCAGTACACCCAAGTGCCTCCCTCCAGTGTCCCAGTGGAGGTATGAAGTTAGCCTCGACCTCAGCTGCCTACATTGAACATTTCCATGAAGAGCAAGAGTGACAATTGAAATAGGACATATTTGCTAAAACCTGAGGCATCCATGTGCTTAAAAATGGTTTTGAGACCAGGAGTGACAGAAGGAGGAATATTTGCTTTGATTCTTCAGTGTTCTTTTATAAATAGATGCTGTCCTCATTTGAGTACAGACGTAGAAAGCTTGCATTTTAACTTTTTAAAAATACATTAAGACCTAGGCGTTTATTGAAAATCGCAATAAAATCGGTTTCTTTCTCTGATTCATACCGCTGAAGTTCGCCAGAGTGAAGCCTTTGGGTAACTTACTATTGACAGCCAAACTGAGACTCTGCAGAAATGGATAAACTGACAGTACTTGGGGGTATCTCAAGTTTCCAAAATAACTGTTAATGTCTTTGCTGGAAGCATAGACTGTATAAATTGTGGATGCAGTCTCTGTGACATCACCCATTGGATTCTTAAGCTGACTTTTGAAGACCGCTGATGGGGGTGGTCATATTGAATATGCTGTCTCAAACTAACTTTTCAAGAGGGAGGTAGAAAAATTAGACTGAACGCAGAGTGACATGTGCCATGAACTTCAGCCACTGCTTGATTTATTTAAAAAAAAGCCTCTTAGCAAATATGTCCTGGTTAACAGATTTCCCCTGTGAGATCTGACTGTTTTTTGATGAATCTGCAAAAAGGCTAATCATGTTGTTTTGATGGGGAGGGCAGTGGGAGAATACAGCCTTTTTATTAATGAAACATGTTTAATTTTCACAAATTGTAAGCAATTATCAAGTTGCCTTAAAATCACCAATCCTCTTTTTCAGGAGAATGGTGGTCAACAGCAACAGGTTTCCATGGAGACCCCTGCCGAACACACAAACTACTCATACCAACACAACAAGTGAAACAAAGGTAAGACAATGAAAGCTCCATCGATCTGTACAGCAAATCACCAATCAATCCATCAATTTTCATGTATACTGAATAGTGTCTAATCACAACTACAGCTATCTCATGACAGAATACATACAAAGCGGGTCTACACTTTGCTCTTTGTAAAGTAGTATTAATCAGGCTGAGGTTTATACTTTAAGGATATGATCAAGTAAATGGTACAATAATCATTTCATCATTTTTTAAAAAGACTGGCTATGTCATTGATAATAATTCAAATCAACTCTTGTCTGTTTGGGGAGTTACAATAAAAGAAGGCTTAACTTTGGTCATGACTCAAAATATATTTGAAAAAGATGTTTGCATTAATTATCACCATACGCCAGTTTTAGGCCAAACTATGACAAACTGTGATGTTGTTGTTTTTCCTTTTGATATAAGTTTGTCTTAAAAATATTTGAAGACGCATCCTGTGTTCTGAGGGCTTATTAATTTTGCTTCCAATGAAATGCTATCTTACCATTTGATTAAATGACTTAATATTCAGCAGTATTCAGTATCAAAATCCACAACATATGTCATCCTTACTCACTGTTTTAGTTCAGGAAACAAAAAAAACACGCAGATTGAGCGAGCATCCTGTTAGCTGATTCATGAAAACTTTCAGCTTATTGAAGTGATAAAGGACTTCTGGCAAAGTAATCTGTTTCCTCGGGTTGTCATCATTTACAGAACAAATACAAGTTAGGAAGTGAGATCTGAGTTGGTGTTGTGAAGGAACATCTAAGAGGGGAATAATAGCTCCACAGCAAACAGATATCTATTTTTAGATATTTATTAAATCTAAAACACAATCAGTTGACCGACATTGTGCTCCAGGATTGCGTTACTCTCTTTTGCACTCAGCATTGACTGTTTTTTAAAGCATACAGCCAATTCCTATGTCATGGTCACTGAGCGATTATTTTTAAAGCACATATTTGTTCATGCTGAGAAGCACAAAAAGTCACAATTCATAATTATTAAATCAAGTATATATTGACTTTGGAGCCGGCACCCCACTTACATAATAATAATATTAATACATTTTATTTATAAGCGCCTTTTAAAAACTCAAAGACACTTTACAATAGTTAAAAACAGAAAGAACAGCACTGTAAGGAAGACTAACAGACATTGCAACATGACACACAAATCATAAAGATAACAACAATAAAGGTAAACTACAGAAAACAGAAAATACATCACAATCATACATTAAAAGCTTGATGAGCTACATGAGCTATATGAGCTATAGTCCTCTGAGCGGGTGGCCCGGTCTCGACCCTCAGCACTTGCCGCATGTCTTTCTTCACTCTCTCATGCCAGTTTTCGACTCTATCCACTGTCCTCTCTCCTATAGAAGCATGAAAGCCTAATAGATAAATAAATACCAATACTGCGTGTGTGTGATTGTGTACGTTTTGTTGATTCCAGCAGGGTGGGGCCTAGAGCAGGAGAAAAATCCAACCACAGGATTCTGCTGAAAGACAACTGTGCTCCGCACCTAGCACCCGGACTTGAACATGGATAACAAAAGGAACATGTGTGAGTGTTTTTGTGTTTGTGTGTTTGTGGGTGCGTGTGTGTTTGTATGTGTGTATGTCTGTTTTTTCGTTTGTTTTTTAAGAAAAAGGACAACACCCAAAATATCTGACTTTCCTGCTCACAATCCTCAAGAGTTTTTCAACCAAAGGTTGGGAATCTTCCTCACAGAAGCTAAGCTCTATTTTGATTACTGAAAAAGGAACATAACAAGAAGCTGAACAAAAAAGAAAATTAAGAGAGGAGGAAAAGACATAGAGCATTATTTTTGTGCACGCAATGTAACAAATTCTTATTTTTTAAAAAGCATTCTGGATGTTTCAGGGTGATTCAAGAAAGAGTTGAAACACAATGTGTCTTTTATTTTTTTGTAAAATATGCAAACTTGTATGTTTGTCTTTCCTGATGTCTGTTGTTTGACGTTCTATTTGCAGCAGCATGGACAACGATTTGTACAGATTTCAGAACTTACACACACTTTGTTGGTCTGGTGTCATTAACCGTTTAAAGCTACTTCTACTCTTATAGACCATGTTAGACCATAGTTTAACTTTGTGTTAGTGTTTAACTTTCAACCATTCTTTCATATGTGAACAAAAGACAATCAATTATTTCTATTTATATTGAATTATAGGTCTATTTTGAAGAATCTAAGATCTAAGAATTTTTAGATCATTTAAACATACATTTATAGAAAAGAAGTTATTCAATACTTAAGTTTTTACAGTCAAGATGAAGTGGACTCTAAAGGATGTGTACCCAACATTCATAATTACCTCTTACATTTGGCCGATGACTTTACATCAAAATGGCTTCATAAGACATGTTCATACTAAAAGTAGTTCCCTTTTTGTCATAGAGTATTTGTTGTTGCATCCGTGTCCATAAGAAGTGGTTTTAAGCGGTTCTATTATGACTAGCCATAAGGCATCATTGATTTCATGCTGCTTCAGATTTGATTGGTTACTGAGAGAGTATGTGTAGAAAGAGCAATGCAGTTACTAAATTAAGATTTAGTTTTGCAAAAGCAATGAGGGAAATCAAATAGAGAACTAATACAAATCCCTGAGAGAGAGTAATTTGTGTGATAGGAAAGGGAACTGTAAATCTGTTTTTTTTTTCAATGCTGCTGCTGAGTTTGATTTTTCTTCCAGTGATGTTTAGTTTGTAGGAAGTTCATTGTATTCTTTTTGTCTGTCACTTGAAAACCTTTTGAGCTACTTTGCCTTATTTTTGATGAATATATCTTTGAAGTAGATTGGATTTTAGCTTTAGAATTACCTTTTTTTTTTTTTTTTTTTTTTTTTTTTTAAATAGAAAGTAGATGTTAGTTTTGTTTTTCTCCACCTTGGGATTGACGCTGTTTTCTTATGCACATACATTTTTCTCTTGCTTCGTTTCCACGCGGAACAAGAGAACAATCGTTCTTAACCTCGTGTCTTCTGTCCTCATATGGCCTGTGTGTAGAAAGCCTTTTGAAGAGGAGTGCTGAACCAAATCATGACTTTGTTTAGTGCTGATCCAAAAGATTCATACTGAGGCTGCATCTGTGTTGTGGCTCAAAGAGGCTTCATACGTACAAGACCCCAGGTATGCTTCGACAGTCCATCCAAATATGTTGAACTTTAATTTATACAGACATCATAAACTGTAGATATGTAGATAATAGAAATCATGGTTTTACAAAAGTACCGCTCACTAGACCGTGGAAGTGCCATTAAAGACGATTCTTATAGCCTTTAGTGAGACCGTTTGTCTGAATGAATTTGTGAGTGATCCAAAACTCTGCAAAAACTATTTGAAGCTAAGCCTTAATGTTTTCTCTTTGGAAGTACTGCCTTGTGTCTCATAGGATCAAAACGTAGTTGTAAATACTATGGTAATGATGACAGGCTTATTTGAATGCCATTCAGTTGGTCGTCGCGTCAGTCAAGTTAGCTGTACGGTTGCGAGGTGCTTTTTCCTTCCTTGCTCCTCAAACCATCCATAATCAATCCAGTGGGGGGGGGGAAACAGTGTGATCATGACTTTCTCAAAGCTTGCAGTTTGATGATTCTGTTTTTGTCTTCACATTTTTGTGTGTTTCTATTCATTTCCACAACCAAAGATGTTGTCGCCACCAATCTTTTTAGCTCGTTGTCACTGAATAAAAAGCTATTTTCTGGTTCTGATGGTTGGAAACAGACACAGAAGTTTCTAAATTTTTTACGTTTAATTCCTTTTAATGCAATTGTTCCGAGAATACCCGAGACAAAACGAAATATTTAGGCTGATTTGAAATAAACGTCTGAAGATTGACATGATTTTTATCATCCTGTGTTAAACAGTTTTCCTCATACCTCATGGATTATTTGAGAGAAAACATACTCTTAGTTTTCTGCAAACACCCGTGAGGAATACAGAACCTTTTTCAGACATGAGCTAACGTTGTATAAAGTCCTTTTTCTCTCCTTCCATTTCTCTTCACACAATTTGTGTCCTTTTCTTCTTCTGTGTTTTGCTATCTTTTTTATGATTTATGTCATAAACACAGTGATAACCAATTGTTCAGATTCAGTGCACCATGAAGGAAAATGTCATGGATATTGTTTATATGTTCAGAGAAATGATATTCCATGTGTTAGCCATTACTTTTAATACAAAAACAGGTTTTTGAAACTATGAAATGACCACTTGTTACAATGCAGCGTTTATTTATTTTGTTTTTTTGTTCTGTTTTTTTATTTTAATTTTAGATTTTATAAAAGGATATTTTGGTGCTCCAAATTGAAAAAGCATCAGGAAAATCATTGAATCTTAAAATCGGATGAAATTTTAGGACTGCTTTGATTAATGGTGTGCGGTATAGAGAGCACACAATATTTGACACAAAACATTTTTGCTTGCACTTATTATTCAGTTGACACTAATTTAATATGCTCTATTTGTCAGTAATGTCCATTTAATGGCTTATTTCATAGATTCAAAATGTTTTGCTGCTAAAACAGGATTTCCAAGCAGATGCTAAGATGTTGCCCAGTCTGGATTTTTAAAATGTGCGTATTTACTTTGATTTGGTTACTTCAGAATATCCATCAGTTTTATCTTTGCAACAAACGGCATCATGATACACATGTACAGAATATAGAATAAGAGGTTCCCTGTTATTTTTTATTCTTAAATGATTTAAAGACAACAATGTTTTCTTATGTTAACATTTTTCAACCTGAAATAAAAAATGGCCTTGTTGCTCCTCACTTTGGAAACCAAATTTGCGTGAATTCCAGACATTTTGGAAATCCTTCGGGCTCGTCTCACTCTCCTGCTTGAGAACAGTTTTCTTATTTATACAAGAACTCATTTTGTACAGTTTTGTTAGAGGAAAGAGGTTTTGATATTTGGTTATTTTGCAAAGCCACTTGGCTACTTTTGTCTTCCTGTGCCAGAGATGCTAAAATTGTCTGTAACTTGTGTTTTTTTTATTGATTGAGATAAGATTGTCTTTTTTCTTGGTTTTATCTTTGAATTTGACTATGTCAATTTTTTTCCTTTTTTTAAAATAAAAGCCTTGTTTCAATGAATATGTGAACTGTGCTTTATGTTTTGTGGTCATTATTATTATACTTTGCAGCATCTGAGTCTTGGCTGTGGCTCAGTCGGTCGTCTCTCAATCGGAAGGTCGGGAGTTTTGATCCGCACCTCCTGCAATAACATGTTGATGTGTCCTTGGGCAAGATGCTTAACCCAAAGGTGCTCCTGCTGTTTCGTCAGCGGCGTATGACTGTGTATGAATGGATGAGTTAATATTGATACCTTACATTGCAGCCCCTACCATCAGTGTGTGAATGGGTAAGTGTGACATGCAGTGTCAAAGTGGCTTCAGATGAACATGATGTCACTGATTCAGGTTGTGGGAGACATGACCCCTCACTGTTAAAAAATAAAAACTGAAAAATAAAATCTTCATAGTATGTGTTGAATGAGCAGCAGTACTTCACAAGTCTATTTTTTTGTAAGAAAAAGCTACTGACTATCTTTAATTTAGCCACAATTTACTTATATTTTATTTTTAAGAAAACCTACTTTGTGCTTACCAAGATCGTATAATAAATTTAAAGAAAAATCTTACTCTGAAACAAAACCTACACCCTTGTTGTGAACAACATAATTGTGTTACCAAGTGTTTGAATACCTCAATCTAAGTACTCATTTCCACCTTACACATTTAAGACACTGTTCATTGCTTGTGGTAATTGTATTGATTTATTTATGAATATGTCAGAATTAAATAGACGCAACTCATTTTCTTTTAAAAAGTTTAAATGCGATGTGATTTCACTCTACAGTTTAGATATTTCTAGTAACAGTCATGATTCTATATTATGTCACAAAGGCCACATTAAAGTTTCAATAGAAATGGCAACTGATCTAATAACCACATGTAGTTATATGAGGTTACTTCATGTTGTTGGTGTTGTTTTTTAGCTTTCAGATTTCACATAAACAGTGTTTTCCATAAAAACACACAGACTCAAATTGAACTTATTTATATGAAAATATTTTTACACAAATACCATAGACTATTAAAAGTGTCATCGTGTATTAGAAAGGAGTATAAAACAAACTGTGCCTTGTCTACAAAGGTTTTCAAACTGAAATGAATAGATTTCTGGAATCTTCCCATTTTTGGTCCCATCTGTCACACTACAACTGTCTTTGGTGGGTTATTTACTTATGGGTTTGGTGAGTGTTTTGCGTGTGTGTTTGAACACACTGGTTCGGGGGCGGGATCACAGTAGTGTCTCTTGAACATTATGAAAACAGACCATCAGTATATTTGAGAGTAAAATGAACACTTGCATTGCGGTATCAGAGGAGTGTACATTAAATCAGAGCTCAGTGTCAGATCCAGCAGCAGGATTATATGGGTGTGATTACCAGAACAAAAGCCAAGAACAAACAGACGGTTCTTACTTGAAGAAAACGGAAAAAACCTTCAATAAAGTGATGTAGTTAACTGTAAATCCCCGATGTCATCTTGTTTATGAGGGGAAATATCTAAGTTGTGATCCTAAGAGTCCTGACATTGCAGCTGAGGGGCAAAAATACATGTTTTAATCGCGACCTCCTCCCATGATCTGTAATAAGAAGCTAAACAGGTAGATAATGTCCAGGTAGATGCTGAGTGTTGCAAAGACGTACTCCTCTGGACTGATAGTGTAGCGTTTGTTCCCGAGCAGCAGCTGAGTGTCAAAAGCCAGGAACTGTAACAGCAAGAGAGACAGATGGAGGAAAAAAAGGAGGTTGATGATTTAAAAAAGAAAAACAATTGATAATTTGGTTTTGATGGTGTATCTGATTCTCACCAGAGTAAAGAGGATGGCTCCTATCACAGCATAAATAACATGTAACCATGGAACCTGTGATGCAACACAAACAAAGCATTACAAAACACAGATAAGAAGGATAGAAGGATGCTAATTGAAGAAAGACAGTACAGAGCACCGCTAGATTATCCATGAGGCTAATCCCTCCTCACACACCCAAATATGGCCAACAGCACCAGAGGCATTAAGCTGCGAATGCAGTTTAGATAACTGCTTTACACTGCTTCCAGAAAGGTGTGTGTACACGTACACTCAAAGGGTAAGGGAGTGACTTACGTATCCAAACGGGACAGCAATGGAGATGGTGATGGCGCAGAGGAGCATGACTATACACAAAGAAAACAGGACACCTTGACAGGATGTGATGTCAATCTGTGACAGGAAAAAAAAGACAGTTGATGAATTTATTTTACTTTTACTTTGTATGTCTGTTTTGCTATTTGGATTCAGTTTGAAGTTTGGTTAAAGCTCTTCTTTTCACCTTGCTCTGGAAGCTGAAGATGGTGACAGAAAGACACACTATGGATGTGATTCCCAGACACAGAACCACTGACTTAGTGTTGTAAAAGCTGGAGAGGAAAGAAGACAGTCACGTTTTTATTGAGAGTTTTATTCTGAAAAGGCTTTGATAAATTGTCTCAAATCACAACATGAATATTTACCTTGACATAAATCCCATCATGAAGGCCATGCTCAAAGTCTGATGGGAAAAGTAAAGTTACAAAAGTTATCATGTGTACTGAGCGTATAAGTAAAGCATATTGAGCTGTTGTTATGTAGAAGAAGAATACTCACAAAGAGAACTAGCAAGATAATATTCCAAGGGAACTGCCTCCTGTTAAGATAGAAACAAAAAACTTATATTTGCACATATATTTGTATTTTTGTGACACCCAATTAACTTTTTCGTTTGTTTTTGTCTATTTGTTTCAATTGTCTTGAT